GCCCTTGCTTGACAATCCTCTCAAGGCTGCGGTCATCCCTGTCACTTTTGCACCTTTTCCGGCCACATTCTTCCCTTCTTCTTAAGACTCTGTTAATATACTTTGATACTGCGTTCTGTGAGCATCCAGCTTCTTTTGCAATTGCCTTTTGAGACTTTTCCTCCTTATGGAGGGTGTCAATGATGGTCGTCTGCACAACCGTCAAGTCAGCAGTCTTCCCCATGATTCTGAAGCCTACTAAGCCAGACTGAGACAATTTCAAGGCTGAGGAAACCTTTGCAGGTGTTTTGCATTAATTAGCTGACTAGATTGGGACACAGGGAGCCTACAATGTTGAACTTTGTCATGATATTCTAATTTTGTGAAATACTGGATTTGGGTTTTTTTTTTTGTCTTTAATCCATAATCATCAAAATTGAAACAAATAAAGGCTTGAAATATTTCACTTTGTGTGTAGTGAACTAATATAACATACAAGTTTCACTTTTTGAAACAAATTATTGAAATAAATGGACTTTCCCTCGATATTCTATTTTTTTTGGCACATACCTGTACAACTTGTTTTCTACATCATTCATTTAATATCAACAGTTATGTCCAGGCCAATGCTTCCATCCTATCAGTTTCTTAGTACAATGAATACATTGATTTCATTATTCACCATAACCAGTCTCATTTGACCCAAACCCATCTATGCTCTGCATGGTGCAGCAATCCCCACTAACAGTGCTGAAAATATAGACCCTTATCCTATGCTTGTTAGTCTCACTTCCACATTCAGTAAATGTACAAAAACACATTGTGAGGTTAGTTTGACAAAAAAAGAAAGAGACAATGAACCCACACCAGTGTCACAAAAGCAGGGAATTTCATAACCAGAAACAAAGATGATAGAAAGTTCACACAAAAAATTGACCATCAAACCAACAAAGTACAAAAGCAGAATACAAAACTAAGACTTGAAGACTACACAGCTCTGCCAGATAAAAAAAAAGAAAAGAAAAGCTCAGCACAATACATGTACACTATGCACTGCATAATGACAGCAAATCAGCAATTATTTAACATATAATGCAATATATAATTAAACCTAACAATAGGCCACATTCGGTTTGGATTCTCAGGTTATGGATTAATCCATAGTAGAGAACTATACTTAATCCATGTATGTGGGACTTGAGACAACACATCAGGTTTCCTCCAGGCAAGGTGAGCGAGCAGCTTCAGCTTTGTTGACCTTACCTCCCATTCCTTGACATTGAGGTCAGTGATGGGTTCATCCTCAGCCGTTTCTGACACCTCATTCTTCTTGACAACTGTAAACCCAGGCTCTTCTCCCATTCCCTTGATTCCCTCACCGTACATGTCAGGGCTCCAATGCATGAAGAATACATACAGATGGCCTGACCTGGGGGTAGAGACAGAGAAAGCAGTTGAGCTCCTCAATGCTGTAGAAATTTGGTACAGAAATCATCATCTGAAGTGCATCACTCTGTGTCTCTAAAATATCAATGCTCGTATCTGGACAGTGACACAATTTAGGTAATTCTGCCTCTGTACACAACATCACAATGGATCTGAAATGAAGAAATCTGGATGTCAGTGAAGTGTAGACTTTCAGCTTTAATTCAAAAATATCACATTCACTCTTTAGGAATTACAGCCATTTTTATACATAGTCCCCTTTTTTTAGAAGCTCAAAAGTAACTGGACAATTGACTGACAGGCAGTTTCATGGCCAGATGTGGCATGGTCTCTTGTTATGTCATGACAAATTTTGCAGATAAAAGGTCTGAAGTTGAGTCCAAGTGTTGAATTTGCATGTGGCTGCTGTCTTTTAGAACTCTCAGAATACGGTCCATAGATGTGCAAGTGGCTTAAATAAACAAAACAAAACTATCAGAGATACAGCAGAGATTTTTGGAGTGGCCGAATCAACAAACTGGTAGTCTCAACAATAAGAAATGCACCGGTGAGCTCAGAAACACCAAAAGGCCTGGAAGACCACAGAAGACAACTAAAGTGGATGATTGTAGAGTTTTTTTCCTTAGTTAAGAAAAACCACTTTATAACATCTGCCTAAGTCAAGAACACTCCTGAGGAGGTAGATGTACCACTGTCAGAGTCTACAATCATGAATGTAAATACAGAGGGTCCACCTCAAGGTGCAAACCACTGGTAACATTCAAGAACACAAAGGCACCGAAAAATTGTATCACTGTTCAAACACTTATGGTAAAACCCCCCTAAAGTGTGAGGATTACTATAATTCATTTGCAAACAGCCCTAAGGGGACATTTCAACATCTCCAGACAGTGAACAAGGACCTTGTCTCCCCTTGGCTAATGCTTCTATGCCTTCATCTTTTGTCTGACATCAAGTGTTTTGCAACACAAGCCATCACTCTCTTAGAATGGAAGTGTAGGTACTTCATTTTGGAACAGACACTCGTAATATGAAGTAAAATCTGCACTAATTGAATTTGCTGACCATTAGGCAGCAGCACAGCAAGTGGTAAACACACAATTAACACATTAACGTATGAAATTGTTATGCTTAGCCAACAGTTACTTATTTACACAGCAAGCAGATCTGAAGCAACAGCTTTATTTGTGGTTGTGTTTCTGGACAAATCTAAAAAAAGCATCTACTCTCTTTTTAGCTTAGGCTGGATTTCCACAATGACCTGATACATCTGCCTCTTTAGCTGCAAAATGCTACAGTTTTATGTTCAGTGGTTAGACACTAACATCTGTCTGTATGCCTTCTGTCTGACTCAGGGCAGGTCAGGTAAGCTGGCTTTATCAGAGGCTGTTTGCTGAAAACAGCAGCGGCTGGAAATGAGGCCAGTGAGAACAGTGAGACTGAACCAATGAAGCAGGAGATGAAACTTTTTCATGTGAGCCAAGTAAACAGGTTAGGATATGATGTGATAGTATGGCACATAAATCATGAAGTTGTTACAAACCACACAGGGAACCCTGCCTGCGTCATACACTGCCATCGCTGGTGGACATAAACGTGGTATGGCCGATTCACCAGCCTCCCTTTCTTCCCACATTGTCAGGACAGCTCTTCTCATCTAGGTGAAAACTAAGGGGAGTCTAGCAGTATCTGAGGAAAAGGACTATGACCCTCTGAGTTGTCAGTCCTAGCAGCTTATGACCACTCCTCCCACACACCTTAGCTTTCCTGCAATGTCAAGAAAGAAACGATAATGTGTAGTAACATGTACGAGCCCTGTCTTTATTACTAGCTTTACATTTGCCGTGTCCCTGGGCTCTCATCCCCAAGAGCAGCGCACATCACAGCAAACTTGTTTTCCAGGTGGGAAATGCTGTAACCATGCGACATATGGAGGGGAAACAATAACACTTTAACAAGCTTCTGAAGTTCATATGAATAATGAAGCAAGGGGGGATTTCAGTGTCATTATTGCGCCGAGGCAATCAACGCATCACATAACCAAGAGGCATTTGTGACATCATAACTAAAAATAAAAATGACATGCCTGTTTGTTTGAGTCAGATTTCATAAGAAGCCTGACACAGCACCATGTGTGTTGCTGCTGGAAGAAAACTATAGACATGTGTACTGAAAACATGACAGGGGCTGTGCAACTCTGGTCAAGTACACGATTAGAGTCACCCCATTAAAGTAGTGCAATTTCTGTCTTGAAAAAGACAGTGAATGTAACCCCACTTTGGTGGATCCAGAGACACTGACACGGCTGTGCCCATCAATTCCAGATCAGGCTCAAATTTTAGACAAGTGACTCATCAAATTAACTGATTAGGCTAAATCTCTACATAAACACATTATTTTCTTGTAATGCGAGGAGCTCTAATGTCATTATGACAACTGCTGACTTGGCAACTCTACATCCAGATTGAGCACTGCAACTTGGAAAAACACATAATTAAGCCAAGGCTATTTACCAATGATGTAAGACATTACAAATTTCGGTGCAATCGTGAACACCTTTATAGGTGAAACACATTCTGGGGATGCAACATTTACTGTAGGAAACCATGAGCTTAAGACAGAATGCACAGAGGACTTACTGCAGCATACCCCTTTTGCACACGCTGTACAGTATGTGTGCCCCAGCCTAGGAATAAAGTGTGTGTGTTTCCCTGCAGAGTGAATGAATAATAAATCACTTTGCTGTCTGGTAGCAGAGGGAGATGGGCAGAAGCAGCAGTGGGAGTCGGACCTGACAAAGAATGCATATTTGATTGGTTTCAAATACTAATTTGACTGAAGGTGAGGTGCCTCAGTAACTCTACACTTTTATTAGGAACTTATTAGGATCATATGGGTTCACTTTGTTTTGTATTTCTTCCATTTTAAATACCTCCATATAATCAGGTGCAGCACAGGTTTTCTGATTTTAAAGTCTGCCATAGAAATGATTTGCTTGTATTCAAAATGCGTAATGGCCAGAGTTAGTGGGAGGTGCAGCAGAGGTACTGACCTCTCCTTTGGCACAGCAAACCAGTACTCGTGCTTCTTTCCCAGCTGGGCATACTGCTGCATGGAGGCGCTGGCGTTGGAAACAAACGTCTTCTTCATGGGCTTTCCCACCCGCAGACACAGGAACTTGTGAGAGTGGTGCTTTCGCCTCTTTGCAGACCCTGTACCTGGTGAGCGAAATAATCACACAGTCAATGAAGCACAAAAAATGAGTAATGAAATGGCTTAAAGGCTATGATAACAAGACAAATTGTTCTGAAAGAATAGTTTGACATTTTGGGGAGTATACCTATTTACTTTCTTGCCAAGCACTAAATGAGAATATTGACTGTTACTCTCATGTCTGTATGATTACCCAAAGGGCGTTCTTGAAGATGCTTCACCACTCATCAGTTCAGTTCTAATTGACTGGTGGGAATTCAGAAGTTAACCTCTGTGGAGTTAACACCTTGAGGGATGCTAACCCTTAGCAAGGCACTCATTGAAATACTTGGAAACTCCAAATTTCAACCCATTGTATGGTTCCATTGTATGCCTACATTAATTTCCCACAAAAAGTGTATATATAAAATATATTTTAAAAAAATCACAGAGATAAAGTTGAAGACATTTATTTAAACATAAAAATGTGTGAAAATGTAAAATTGCATGGTCTCTACAAATATTGAGTCATTTAGGAGGACCTATTTTTCTATCTTATTTTTTGCTTCTTCAGCTGACATTAGTCATTTTGTTGCAGAAACCACAGATGACAGAAATAAATGGGGTGGCACACAATAACATAGTGGCACCGAGTCTTCTGTCCATGGTACATTATCAATGGCCCATTGTAAGGTCACAGCACCAGAAAGCTGAATCAGATCACTGTGCCAGTGATGTCACACTCCATCAGCTCCTGGCAGGGCATAACTGTTTAAAAATAATAAATAAAAATCACACTGATTAATATTAATCTGTTTAAACTAGGCATTTTTGAAGTTGCTGCTGTTACTCGTGTGGGCTGTGACAATGTGAACCAAGTAAAGGGCAGCCCTGCTGAGATGCCAGTGGATCTGAATTGTTTCTGCAGCCCAGCTCTCTGTGTGGCAATAACTGCCACAGAGAAAATGGTAACTCTCTTGTCTCCACTCTTGGTCGGTTTCTTCTCGGGGAGAGAAAAGTCAGTTTGGAATCATAACTATGTGCCAAACTAAAGTGGGTTAAAGTGAGTGAGTGACAGACCGAGGCCACTGCCTGCTAAGGCACAAACTGTGCCAGCCAAACACTTATTAAAGGTTGATTTGCACATTTTAGCCTATTATTGTACTACTAATTGCATATATTTCATTATTTATTTTGTTGTTGTTTTTTGAGTTACACAGTACCTCACATCAGGCAGTGTCTGCTTTCCATTTATTTCAGTTCACTGAATATCTTCTTGCATGAGACAGGTAATCCATCACGCTGAACATTCTGCTACCTTTATAAAGTTATCAGTGTGAAAATGCAGTTAAGAAACTTCTTGGTGGTGCGTTTAATGTGGTTCTGACTTACGTGACCTGAAAGCTATCTAGTTAAAAGTAACACTTAAAATTCGCAAACTGAAGGATGAACAATAAATTAACATGACCAGTTTTTGTATTGAACAGTTTTCTGATGTGCAGCTCGCATTCAAGACAGTGTGTGTCTTGTACTTGGTGATTCAGTCAGGATTTGGGGCTTTAGAAACCTTCCTGTGTGTGAATCGGAGAAAACCGGTGCTATTATATATATATATTATAGTGCATAAATATTACCAAAGGTTGGATAAAGTGGGGTTATGGGCTGGGAACAATGTGAGAGTCACAATTTCCATGAAAATCAAATAATTAAGAGACTGTGTATTCAAACCAGCTGCCCATGCTCCATCTGTGTCTACTCCATATGGCAGGACTTAATGGTTTATCTCCTGCATTCCAGTTTCCATCCTCATGTCGCTCAACTGTGTGCTGCTTGTGTTAACCGTCAAATGACCCTTCTTCCCCTGTAGTCCCTGGTCAACGGTCTGTACACTCTGGGTCTGGTAAGGTCATTCTTGTCAGCTTTGTGTCACTACAGTCTCATGCCAACTAAGCTCATGTATGGACTCATGTCAACCTCACTATTGTTGAGTCATGCATCTCGGGTTCACACACTGACATCCGTTGTTTATTAGTACTATGTCAAGCTCTGTCACGTCTTACTGTTTTTATCCTCCAGCTGATTTTTCTGACTTCAGTGAGCGCCTTTAGTTTATCCTAGTTCATGCTTTATACAGGGTAGGCCACGGAAAAGCAGCCAGGGCGATAGTATGGCAAGATGAATGAGCAAGTGGATTGTTTTGGAGGCGGGCTACTTTTCCACGGCCCACGTGGTAGTTCTGGTTCTCACATCATAAAGATTTTTTATTGTTGCAAGCTGTTTAGAGATGTTTCTAATATTTGTACTGTTGGTGCAAAATGCTGTGCAAGTCTTGCCTAAGCCCTTTATGTATGTATGTATGTTTATTTTGCATTTAGTCTAGCATACCCTTGCTTAAGAAGATTTTATGTTGCTATGTCTGCCTCTGCTACAGCCATAGTGTTCCCTGCCTTTTCCTCCGTGTCTTGGGTGTTCACCAGTACCTCCTCACCAGGTGTCTGCATTTAGATTCTCCATTTACAAAAACATGACAGTGAGGTTCACTTAAAAACATGCATAGCTCAGTTATGGAATTGTTTACCTATATAATCATTTAGAAGAAATCTTGGTCGAAATCTGTAAATAGTGTAGCAACTTGGTTTTTAGGGTTTTTTTTATTCTTAGGAGGTATTTTTTAGCAATAATCTATATTTTTATTAATGAAAAAAAGTTAAATTTCCAGTTACTCAGAAACAGCGAGAGGTAAGAAAAAAAACCTTAAAAAGGATCCGGTTTGGGCTGTAGCTTTTGCTCTTTCTTTTTCAATTTGGTGTACTATTACGTTGAAATATTGCACATAAATGTGTTATTTTGATGTCTGATATTTAATGTAGGGTAGGCCAAATGTTTGGCATGACCAGAAATTAAACCAATAAAATGACTTGGCGTCTGTAGTTAACAGGTCAAAGATCTAAAATCTTCCATATGATCTTTGAATCTTAGACCATATGAGGTTTATTCCAGGCTTTGTAGAACTTATTTGTCTAAATCCACATGAAATTAAAAACAAAAATAAAACTCACACCCCTCTGGATGTTGTTTAAAGGGTGTTTTGATGTTCTGCCACCATTCCCCCCTGGGTGCTACTGTAGGTGTGTTTATGCTCATTGTAGTGTTTGATAGGCTTTAGCTTATCACCCAGAAGAGTTGCCCAGACCAGCAGAGCCAAAGATCAAAGCGCTGCAGAAAGCCCCATAAAGCCCTTAGCCCTGCCAAGCTGATAACACCAGAGAGAGGCTGCTATTTCTCTTCTCTTTATATTCCAATTACTAGCACCAAGGCAGAGTATAAGCAGAAAGGTTATCAGGAACCAACATGAAAGAAGTGATCCTGAAACAGCCAGAGAGGAGAAAAACTCTGACTTTGATACTTTATAGAAGAATAGGAATGTAGAGCTGCAGCTAAAAGACCAGATGAGGCCGGTTTCATCACCTGAAAGGTTCTACACAGGCAAGATATGACATACTGTATGTTTTCTAACTGTAACTAAGTAAGTGTGTTTACCCTCTGCAGAGTTCTGTGTGTCGTCCTTTTGCAACACCTCTGCATTGTCCTTCTCGCCTTTTTGCATAGTGTCCAATTTGGAGACGACTGTCCCCTCTGTGGCATCCCCATGTGGACTGGTTGAGTCGGAGGTGGTGTCTGTGGCTTCTGTGACACCAGGGTTTGCTGAGCTTTGGGACTCTGGGTGAGAGGTGTTGCTGCTGGGACCCTGGTTCTGGCTAGTGCTGCTGCTGTTGGTAGTGGGTGTGCTTGGTGGTTTCTCTACACTGTGCTGCTTGGATTCCACGGGGGACTGGCTATCATTTGCTGTGGCAGTGTCTGGTGGATTGTCCTCTGCTCTTGCTGCAGTCGGCTCCTCTGACGGGCTGACTGAGCTGTGGGCATTGCCTGGACGCAGGCAGCCTGGGGCCAGGGAGCTCGAGGGCGGGGAGCCAGCACTGGTAGCCTCCACCTGGGTGACAGTTTGCACAGACTCTGTGGAAGCGCCAGAGGACTTGTCCAGGCGGACGTCCTCATTAAACGCTTGTTCCTCCTCCCGGATGGGGGACAGCTCAGACTCGGTGAAGACATCTTCAGAGACGGAGCCCTCAGTGCTGTGTGGGGCTTTACTGCTGCTGTCATTGGTCACTGGCTCCTTCAGGCGCTGCTCTGGGTCCTTCTGCTGGGAAGGATGTCTCTCAACTGGAAGTGGCTCCAAGTCACTGGAAATAATAAAGGAATATTTAGACTGTGTATTATTTCCCCACAGGCCCTACATGTATACCATGTAGGTGTACATGTACTGACTGTGTATTTCATGTGGCGATTCAAATTGTTGGTAGTTAGTTTCATTGTAATGGTTTATATACTGTCTTGGCTCTGGTGAAGCTGTTTAATACCAAATATCAACTCCAACTTTACAGACGAACAAATTAGTGCTGCATGCATACGTCATTTCTTGTTTTCAAAAAACTCTAATGAGGTTGTATGGAAACAGACAAAACACTTATGCAGGCACTTGCTGCTCAGCTGTGCGCTCAGCCAGAGAGAGGTCAGCAGAGAGAGTGAGACAGAGGACACAGACAATGGATCACAGCTGAGAAAACAGGTGGGACTGGCACAAAAACTGCTCCATGGGCAACACTCACCCGGCTAAACAGAGCTCTGCCCAGACTCTGCTACCTCCAGAAAGTGAAAAAGTGACTCCACAGGGTTCCTAATGATACACTGTATTTGTCCTCACAAAAATTAGGCTTAAACTACAACATTAAAGTAATCAAAGTAAAAGAAAAAACAAATCAGACAAATCTGTGGGAGGAAACAAGTGAATACTCTGAAGTAGCTGCTTCCTACTGCATAACGAGGTGAGCAATCAGAACGTGGGAGTGAAAGCATGTTTCATTAAACCCAGTGTAACTGCCGTTTCCTTTTTATTTCGGCCGACTCTTGGTCGGCTGCTGATGCAATTTGCCCATGGAGAGAATGACAGAGAATGACACTGATTACAGCAAGGCCACTGCACTTCTTTGAGGGTAAGAGTGGGAGAACGAAACATGGAATGACATTTTGGAGAAGATATAAAGCTCAACTAAATGAAAAATAATTTACTTGGGAAGCACGGTTTGAAGTGTTCATCTACTACTACAGAACACATACAGAAATAGCTGCCTCTTACTCAGGTACAGCCTCTCTGATCGTGGGGTTGGTGATCTCCTTGTAAATGGCAGCAGACTGCACTTCCTCCAGAGGACACATGATGCCGTACTCCTCACACCCGTGTGCCTGCACCAGGGGGTCCATCCGGTGAGGGTCGAACATGATGTTGTTGGGTGTCACCAGCAACACCCCGCTCACAGCACCCTGACAGCAACACAGGAAAGAAGAGCAATGAGTGAGGACCGATGAGATCCATAGGTGCTTTTAATCAATAAATAAAATAATATTAAAAATAAATCAACTTAGCATGTTTATCTACCAGAAGAACTAAACAACCGGAGGCCAAATTCATTTGACACCACAAATGTCCTAAATCAAGTAAATCAAGTTATTGACTGGCAGCACTGACCACTTCAGTGCTGCCATTTGTTGCCTGCCAGTGAATCAGCAGTGACTCAATACCATGGATTTTGTGTGTGTATGGGTCTGGACATAGCAGTGTGTTGGTGCGCACACACAAAGGCAGGCAGTGATAAACCAGCAGCTGGGTGGGGTCTGTGTGTATTTCAGTGTAGGATGTTGTGTTAGCTGGCTGCCATGCTGCCTGACCTGAAGACAAAGCACAGCACACAGCACATCTGACCACCTAGTGTGTTCTCAGGGGTCAAAAAGAAACTATTAAGTCCATGTTCTATACGACTTCTTACATGTTAGTTAGATTTGTATTAACCACAGATGTTATGCAAAAAGAATGTAATATGCTCTAAATGCATAAAATGTGCTATTGTTGAAAGAAGCACTTGATATTTAAAGTGTGAAGTATACCTGCTGCTGGAGGCTCCGCTCTATGTCTGTGTATTTAGTTTGCTTCTTTGATACCGCCACTTGCTGTGAATCTCTGTCATGTCTAGATGTAACCCTACTAGTTTGTGTCTCTCATGAATTAACATTACATTAGAATCACAGAGCTAAGTGAAAGATTTTCAAAACAAAAAAAAACAAATACCTCCATCTTTGAGAAGCCCAGAAGGTAATTTAACAAGAAGGATTCAGGAAATATATTCACAGCAGCAGCATACAGTATGTTAATAAATGACCTCCTGCAAAGGTTGTAGGGTTCTTATGTTTAGGAAATACGTTTGGCTTTTGCTTCATGAGTTTAACTGCAGCACTACACTCTGCTGAACTGCTTACTCTTTAACATGGCCAGGAGGGTGAACCCTACATGCACATACAGTACACATAAATGGGTAGTGGGCCTTACCTTTACATCAGCGATGTACTTGCAGTTGATCTTGAGAAACTTCTCTGTTAGGGCCTCTTCCTCCTCGGAGGCGGATGACACCACTCTGGACTTGCGCAGGGCAGAGAACACTGGGGGATGAACAGCTTCTGATTTGGGCGGGCCATCAGAGTCCTAGAGGAAGGTTGGGTGGGGGTGCAGATGTACTTTTACACTGGACTACTATAATTTGTCATTTGTTGCAACAAACAACAAAGGGCACATTTTACAGTTAAATGAAGTGAAGTGGTGAATCCTAAAAGTGTGTGTTCCACTTTATTCTGGTGTTTTAGTTTCGAATTATAGTATCCATATATAAACAGACATTTCCTGCACAATGGGACAGTTAGGATACAGGAATCCCAGTGATGAACCAAATGAAGCACCTCCTGTGTGCCTGAGCGTCTCGATGGTAATCAGGCGAAGAAAAAAATGATAATCATTTTATTTGGCCAAGTATGTTACACCCATGAGGAAAAGAAACAGCTTAAATCATTGTGCATTATGCATGACTTAATGCTTTGTTAGGGTCATTTCATTCAGATTAATATAGCCTTGTGTCAAGGGTGGGTTGAGAAACTTTTAATGTGTTGACTCAAATTTAAAGCCCAGGTTCTTGGTAAACACAAAGTGCACATTTAATATATAGCTACATTATTTATTCAGTGTAATAAGTGAATGCAATAATAACAAAAGTTAACAATCACAAGCTGCTCTCTGCGACTCCAAATAGCTTACAGCCGTGAACAAGTTTTAAATCAATGAGCACCATGTAGTCAAGGTATTTCAGTAGAAGCAGATCATGCCCTAACACTACGAGTCTGTGTGAGTGTGTACTGGAGAACCCAGTAAAATAAATACATATGTACACATTCTACATTCCCCCCCACTACATAAAGCATGGGGGGCTGTAAAACATACTGTATGGTACAGTATGTTTAATACTGCACTGATAACAATCTGTTAATGTTAATAAGAAGCATTTAAAAATATTCAGATATAATGTTGAAATTTAAATAAATGTTTCAAGCAGGTATCAAGGAATGTTGTTACCGTTTCTTCATCTACACCATGATAGTGCTGCAAACTGCCCACAGTGTGTGTGTGTGTGTGTGTGTGTGCTGAGCTGGAAACATGTCTGAAAAACTGTCCACAGGAACAACTGTCTGGCTGTGAGACATTTTGTGAGACAGAGCCGATAAAGGGACTGACTGAGCAACCATCTGCGGGCTGGACAGTCTGTGACACC